ACTTTTAGTTTTCTCTGTTTTGTTAAATGAACCATGTTTTCAACATAAAATCATTCACTGACCAAAAGGACAAAAGTGGCTCTGAAAACCATTTTGTGTGCAGTCCAGGGCAAAAAGAAAAAAGGTAGAAAACTGGTATTTTTAATTACTCATATGCCTAAAGCAATACCAGTTACAAATCAACACTGTGAACAAAAACTTACTAATATACATACATAATTTTAAGTTTTATAAGCTAAAATAATAACCAAGTCAAGAATCCTTAATATTTATCTTTTCAGTAGAGAGAGAAGTCTCTCCACCAGTGAAGGCTAAGAATATCTTCAGACCTTCATTTCCAATCTTTTTAAAGAGTCATCTCTTTTTAAACCTAAAAAAAGTAAATAAGTAATTCCCACATTTATATGAGACATTTATTTCCTCTACAGGGAAGATGTGCTAATATGAATTTTACTCTCTGCCTCCACCCAAAGTTTCCCATGAAGCACTTCTCCAGTTAATTTCAACATACCAATTCCAGTTTCTTCCATGTATTTCATAAAAGGAGAGCATGAGAAACTTGCATGAGGAGGAGAGAGTATATGGGAATTTAGCACAAAAATATGACTTTAGATCACCCCCCACAATTTATTAGGCTCCCAAGAAATTATCAGTTCATCATTAGCTTCTTGAAGGAGATTTTAAATATCTTGTGCTTATTGTCAAGATTTTCAAGACGTTAAGTGGGAGCAGTCCAGAGAGTTGGAGAGGAGTACCACAGGGGACGAAGCCTCTGGAACAGAAGACAGCCATGAGAGATCATGTCCCAGGTGAAAATGAGGACATTGTCAAGGTTTTATTCTGAGAATGAGTACAAATAATTATATTACAAATCCAGACTAGCTCTAGTTGGGACCAGAAAGAGGCAAAAAAGGACAGGAAGCATCTAGTTGTTTAATGTAATCTGAGACATGAGATAAAGTCAAAAGTTTTAGAAACAGAATATTGACATATTGGACACAATAAGCAGACCTTAACACAAATACTCCTAATCAGCCACAAAACCCAATAACGGGCATGAGAAGATCAGCTCTAACAGAAAGATGACTTTAAACTGTTAAATGTTCAAGCTAAACATCTAGGACAGACCTTAAAAACAGAAGCTAAAATACACCCACTTTACCCTGCAGTGGGCTTTTTACTGGGTAGAATTATAACAACAAATATTGCAATAGATAAGAGCACCAGTTAAATGCCATCTTAGGATGTTAGAAAGAATTCTAGTTTTTATATAGCATCATAAATAATGATTCAACCAATAGCTATGGGATACTTTCAAAGCGCTAGACACTATGAATACATACCTCAGTCCTTCAGTCATTTGAGAACTATTTATTTAGTGTCCACTCTATACTTAGTACTTTGTTAAAGACAGGATGTCTATGAGAAAAGAAATGCTGTAAAATCAAGACAAGGTTATGAAAGGGAAAAAAAGAATAAGGTAAAAGAAAACCCAATTTCAAGTGGGGGTTTTAAATTTTTAAATTGAGATTTAGAAACATTGAAGTCTTAGGAAAAAGGAACTGAGAATGAGGTTAGGCTAGTAGGCTAGAGGGTAACCAATGAAGCAAAATTCAAAGAAAAGGTGAGGAAGAGAGGCATGGAGCAGAATTTCTAATCTCACAAGGAAGATAACACATAAAGAACTATTCTAAAAACATAGAAAAACATAAATATTATAACAGAAAATCTAGAAAGTCCATAATCAAAGTTAGTCTAAGCAACAAAATAAAGTTTACAGGACCTCATACTATCTTCTGAGCACAGTAAAAATATTAGCCAGAGTTCTGGAAGACAGCAGCAGTGTTGCTTGACTTCAATCCACCATGAATAAGAAAGTCCTCTGAGTGACACACGGAACTTCCCATTACTTAGGTTGAGAACTCTTTATCCCGACCTCTTACGACTCTTCAGGTCAAAATGTAAAGTGTTTTTAAAGGTCTAAAAGCAACACGAGTAAAAATCCTAAGGTGAGACCTTTAGACAAGTAGGAGTTATATAATCATCTTAAAGTAAAATTTAATTCACATAAACATAACAGCAAAGTATGAGATGAGAAGTGTTGATGAGGAGCCAGCTAGTGATTTCTTTAATAAATTAACTGAGATCTTTGAGGAATAGAATATAGTGCCAGTATGAAGAGAAAAAATAGTGTTGATAAGAGAGCTGTTTTGGAAAAAGACTCTCTTGAAGACTTGAGAAATCAATGCCTGCATTTGAATCTCCTGAGGACAGACTAAGCCCACTGCTCAGACCTAGTGCACCCAGGATTTAAATTGAAAGCTGTGCTGTTCTATTATTCAAAAAACTCCAGGATATTCAAGAAACTATCAAGCATGCTATCTTGGAAATAGAAGCCCAAATTCTGAGTTGCTAAGTGCTTGAGAAAGGTTGGTACATAAAAGATTTTTCCTCTTCTGTATTTGGGAGTTTATTCTTCAGGCAGTTGGGAATCCTTGTCTACTTTGAGAAGGAAAGTGACATGATAAAACTAGCTTTAAGGGAAGGTTAAATACAACAGTGATGAACAAAACAAATGAAAGAAAGAGGTGGAAGACTGGAGCATCGAAAGTAATTAATATCCAGTTATAATAAGCTAGAGAGTAAAGGTGTGTGGCGACAGATGAACTGGGGCAAAAAGGGAAGATACTGATCTTGGTACATACTTGGATTTGAAAAATCAAGGACAAAGAAGCCCCCAAGGAAGAGAAATGGTATCATTTAACACAATTTTAACAAGTTGGGAAAATCTGCTTTGTAGTGATGTGGAAGGATGGAAAATAGATTTTGGTAAGAGTTTATATTAGAGTACCAAGAAGACATCCTGGCAGAAACATTCACAAGTCACTATGCTAGGATCCTAAGCATGAATGAGAGATATTTGGGGAGGAAGTCATCTATATTGGTTCTCAACTGGGGTCAGTTTTGTCCCTCAAATGACAGTTAGCAATGTCTGGAGACATTTTGGTTGTCACAACTGGAAGTATGGTGCAGCTGGATTCTAGAAAGTAGCATTCTGGGATCCTGTTAAAACATCCTGGAATGCTACCTGCTAGCTATCAATAACAAAACAGCCCCCTATGACAGAATTAAAAGAATTATCTAGCTCCACATATCAGTGGTGTCAAGGTTGAAAAAACTGCTCATATATATCATAGTACATTAAGGATATCTTGTCCAATCAATACATAGTGTATATTCATGTTTAATATATAGAAAATAAAAATAATATCAAGCATTTATTGCATCCTACTCTATTTCAGGCACTGTCCTCACAATACATGGTTTAAGGTTTTAAATACCATGAGATAGGTATCACCTTTATTCTCATTTAAAAGGTTAGGAAACTGACCTACTGAAAATTTAAGATGCCTGCCGAAAGCCACATAGTGGGGCAAATTGGAAAGCCCAGATTGCAATCACTAAGTTCTTTCCCGGAATCGCAATTCTAATCACTAAGTTGGAGCACACAGTGATTATGGATATGATAAAAGTCAAGCCCCGTAGCAGGTGAGAGAAATGCACAGAGCAAAACACTTTACTCCCTTTATTCTTCTCACAAAAGGATAAATATCCGCTCTCTCGAGTATTAATAGCAACTCTCTCTGTGCCTCTGAAGATCTAATTATGCTGTTGATACACCTCGGAGTTCCTCCTCCAAGAGGAAGACTGCGAGTGGGGAGGGAGGCCTTGAGCTCCATCTACAGTACCAGTTTTGACAGTCTTAGCATTTTGACATATGGGTATGTCCAGATGTATTTTATATAATTGTGAATAATAAAAATAGCAAACTTTCCCAATGTTATAATTTTACCATGTAAATTAAAACCGAATAAAAGTTAGCCCTGTAATAGCATATATCATATTTTCTTACTTTCCAATATGCTTTTTTTTTGCAAGTGCCAAAGAAAGATGTAGAATTAAAGCTAATGAGTTTGGGGATGGTACTGGATGTTCATATGTGAATGTCTGTGATTCAAAGGATTAAAATGTAGTGTTGAAAGTTACCAGTTTCATAGAATGTAATCAAAATAAGCACTTAATTCCTCAGTCATCCTCTTTATATTATACAAACAATTCTCATTTTATTAAACCAGACATTCAGAGTTTTAGTGCCATTGATTCTCCATTTGATCAAGATCACAAAGATAGAACACATTTCTGTGAAAAATTGTAATTTCCCCATTTTGAAACAGTGGATACACTCTTCAAATATTATCGTAAGAAATAAAAATGTCTATTATAAGGAAAGATAGAAAAGGAGAGAAGTTATGAAGCCATTATGGGAAGGTGGTAGGTGGGGGGAATGGTTAGGAACAATGGGAAGAGAGGATCCAGAGATTCACCCACTTGGCATCATTGTTCAGCTGCAAGGTAGGCAAGTCTTGGGGCTCCACAGAATACAATTTAAAAAGAATGATTCAATATATTTTAAGAAAATTTAGATAAAAATTATTACTATCTTGTAACTATATTAAAGCTAGAGGTCTAATAAATATTTTAATTAAATTCTGTTTTAAAATGTAATATTATATAATATACATATGCATGTCATTGAAGGATACATCTTATTTTATGTGTTAAACTTGATTTTTTTTAATTTTTAAGTGGTATACAGTATCCAGAGGCATTTAATTATTGTCTCCGCATATGGCTTATATTCATCTCTTGACCATTTCTGTCAAGAATGCAAATTTAGCTTTTACTGTAAAAAAAATAAATTATATTTAATGGGTTTTCAAATATACTTCTCTGACACAACAATTTTATTCTTTTAAACTGCACTCTGGAATTCTTTCTGAACAATGATGTATTTCTTTTTTATTGTTTTCTTATTTTCTGATAATCAGAGTGATGGTGATAAATCTTGATCCTGCCTTTGGTCTAGTTATTTAGTAGCTATGTATTTGTTTTCTTTGATAGCAACATGCATTAATATTTATGATCATTTTCCTTTGCAGCATCTCCCAGATGGCTCCATGCCCAGTGCACATGTTGAATTTTATCTTTTACCATATCCCAGTGAAGTCCGTAGGAGGAAAACAAAATCTGTTTCAAAATGTACCGACCCCACTTACAATGAAATTGTAAGTATGATTCATCTCTTGTTCAGTCATTTTGTATTTTTCTTACCATTTTTTAGCCTAACTACCAAATATGGAAAATTTTCTGTAATCGGCAGCATTATTCTATAAACAGTAGACATTTCCCAAAAATAGCCACTGTGTGCCAATCACTGTTCTAGAAGCAATGGGAACTGGAAAATATAGATATTGCTCTCAAAGTGTTTATGAACCAATTTTCAAACTGTGGCTAGCCCCCATTGAGAGCCTAAGACTATTTAGCACTTATTTCACATACTAATATTATCACTAACTTTATCTTATTTTCTCTAACTTACTTTCCTTTACCTGGTTTTCCTTGCCTAATAATCTTATCATATTCTAACCTATATAGAAAAATACATTTCAAAAAATCACATTTGAAACACTTAAAAAATAAGTACAAAATACAAATTAAATTACAGTTAATTTATACTAGATATAGCTATTTCATTGGTATTATACAGTTTGAACATCTAAACCCCTGCTTCTAAGGTAAATCCTACATTTATTCTCAATTTCATTCTTTCCCATCTCTCTGTGCCTTGCTCAGTTGACTATTTGCTCTTCTTAAAGCTACTCACCCATTGAATTCTTGACTCAGAAATCTTAAAAAACAAAACAAAACAAATTCCTCAACTCAGTGTTTCTGAAGCATCCAATTTTTCTTTCCCTCCTTGTCATCTCCAAACTTTCACAGAATTAACTTAGATTTCCTGTGCTCACTTCATCGCTTCCTATTCACCCCTCAATCCTTTGCAGTGTGGATTCTGGCTTTAATTGATGCAGGTTTATTCAAGCGGCATATAGAGACTGACTGCTGAATCCACTGGGCCCTCAGCCTCCCCTCTCCTGAAGTTACACAGTGACAGACATTGTTGACTTTGCCCTTTTTCTTGCTACCTCCCTTTTTTTTCTTGAGTTCAACATTTTCTTACTTCCCCTCTATCTTCCCTAACTACTCCCTCATTTCTCTTCATTTACATTCTTCCTCCTAAAGTTTGTTTATTGCAGTTCTGTTGTCTGTCTACTTTTATCTCCTCTTGATATTTATTCTCTCAGATTATCTTGTGTTCTGCAAATTTTCCTGTGTCACCTACATTTAGTTTGTGTCTGACTCAATTCCTCAAGCCCTGACTTCTCTCCTAACCTTTTGACCTGCACTTCTGCCTGATCTCTGAAGAGCTCTTTTCGATGTCTCCTATCCACTTATAAACCTGGCTTTCCTCCTCCATTTACCATCTCAAATGATAACTTCTAATCCTATCTGCCTGTCTTTCACCCACAGTCCAAGGAGTCACCAAGTTTAGTCAGTTCTATTTGTGTGACTTCCTGCCTCTTAAATCTATCACCTCCTCTCAGTCCCATTACCTTTCTTTGAGGTTGTTGTGACTTTGACCAGTATGATGGCCTTCTATCTGACTCCTGTCTTATGTTTTTTGATTAAATCTTTTATATTTCTACCTAAAATGTCCTTCAAAACATAGTCATATCTATTAATCTCCTGTTTAAATTTTTTAAGAGTCCCTCACTGCCTACTGTATAATGTCAGAATCCTAAACATGACATTAATAGCCATTTAAACTTGACTCAGTAATTTTCCTAATTTGTCTCTTGGAGCATAAACTTTTTTTAAAAAATTGTTTGGGGATAATTATAGATTCATATGGAGTTGAAAGAAAAAATACAGAAAGGATTCAAATACCCTTTAACTACTTTCCCCCAAATGGTAACATCTTTCATGACCATGTTACAGTATCACAACCAGGAAATTGACATTAATGCAATCCACTGAGCTTATTTAGATTTAACCAGTTTCATGTGTGCTCTTGTGCATGTGTGTGTGTTTAGTTCTATGCATTTTTATCGTTTATATAGATTTGTGTGAGACCAGCACAATCAAGGTGCAGAACAGTTCAAAAAATTCCTGGTCCTACCATAATATATTATACTGTATGATAGTCAGAAACACTTCCCTCCCTCCAACACAGCCTTGCAAGCCACTGGCAACTACTAACCTGTTCTCCATCTCTATAATTTTGTTATTTATATTATATAAATAGAATAATTCAGTTTGGGACATTTTAAGACTGGCTTTTCTTTTCTTTTTTTTTTTTTTTTTTTTTGCTAATTCTAATTTCCTAGAAATGCACCCAAATAGCTGCATATATCAATAGTTTATTTTTTTTCATTGCTGAGTAGTGGTCATGGACTTTTTTTAACTCTTTACACATTGAAGAACATCTGGGTTATTTCTAGTTTGGGATTATTGCAAACAAAGTTCCTGTAAATATTAATGTGTAGGTTTTTGTGTGAGCATAAGTTGTAATTGCTTTAGGATAAGTGTTCAAGAGTGTAATTACTGGGGTACATAGTAATGTCATATTTAGTTTTATAAGAAACTGCCATACTCATTTTCTATGCTAGTTTACACTCCCACCAGCTGTGTGTGTGTGATCCAGTAGAAATTTCATCTTTGCCAGCATCTGCTGTTCTCTCTATTTTTTATGTAAGTTTAACAGGTATAGTATGCTATCTGGCTGTGGTTTTATTTACATAATAATAAATGATATACTTCTTTTCATATGCTTATTTACCATCTGTATGTTCTCTTTCGTGAAAAGTCTTCACTCATTTTTAATTGAATACTTCGCATTTTACTAAGTTTGAGATTTCTTTTATATATTCCAGATATTAGTCCTTCATCAGATATTTCGTTTACAAATATTTTCCCCTATTCCATAGCTGGACTTTTCATCTTTTTCTCAGGGTCTTTCACAGAATAAAAGTTTTTATCTTGATGAAGGTCCAATTTATCAATTTTTCTTTTTGGATCGTGCATTTCGTATCAAGTCTAAGAGCTCTTCACATAGCACTAAGTCCTACAGATTTTCACCTCTATGTTTTCTTAATGTTTTATAGTTCTACATTTTATATTAAGTATATTATTCATTTTGATTAATTTTTAAAATAAAGCATGAGATTTAGGTTGGGGTTTATGTTTTTTGGCCTGTGGATGCCCATTATTCCAGCGCTCTTTTTTGGGAAGGCAATTCTTCCTCTATTGAGTGTCTCTTGCAACTTCATCAGTAATTGAGTGTTCATGCTCTTCTATTGTCCCATACTTAGCCATATTCCCAAGTCGCATCAGACAGTCTGTCATTTTCTGAATGGTCCCAAAGACTTCAGAGATGAAGCTCAGGCAGCGTTCACCCCTCTGTCCTTCACTGCTGATGGTGAGGCTCACTTCAAATGTGGACTCTATGAGCCACTCTCTCCTCCTGAACTCTTATACCACACTTACCATCTTTTACTTAGTACTTAGGCATACACATTTTTTTCTTAAAGCATGTTATCAACATCTTGAGGACAAGGAAATGTCTTATATGTATTAGTATCTTTAAAACTTAGTTACTTCTAGAAAGACTTGTGAAACTGAATATTTGGGGTAGTTTTATAAGTGATACTTGGTGTATATATATATAAAACATAAAACTATAACCATATATATGTATGTATGTGTGTGTGTGTGTGTGTGTGTGTAGAGAGAGAAAGAGATTAAGACTTCTCTAATTTAGAAAGGAAAGAAATTTTGACATCTTATTATTTGTCATAATATCAACAGCTGAGATATACAACTCCCAATACTATCACTAGTTTCTACACTTTGAGTATAAGACCTCCTTCTTCAATATCGACAAACTTCTCAGACTCAATGATGTAGTTCAGCACCTCATGACAAAAAGCCATTAACAATTCAGAAGAGTTTAAATATATGTGTTTTAATAATTTCAAGCTTTATGTATTATTAAAAACAGTTGTAAATATGCATGCATGGAGGTTATATGTTTGTTATGTCCATAAATTTTCTGATAGCTTGTAATAATTTGGGGCCTTCATACATGCATGCTCCACTAATTAGAAATCACTGCAATAATTCTCCATTAGTCTATATTTACAGCATAAATATACACCACTTATACTTTGAATGCATGTAAACTTGTTTTAAAAACTGTATTACTTGCATAGCAAACTCCAGTTTATCCATAGTTCAAATTTTCAGAAATGTGAATCAATGTGTGGATAAGTAACTAATAGTAATGATCATCAAATAAGCAAGTCTGGCAGGAAAACTGATTCAATTTAGAAATCCATGAGGGGAAAAAGGGGGTTATAATATTTTTATTTTTCCCAATACACCCTGTGTCTCTATTAAGACAAGAATATTTATTTTGAGAAATACAAAAAAAGTACTGCCCACCACTTTTAACTCTGGTTTTACTTGTTCTTGACTTCAGCTGTGATGTAAGCCCTCATTTCTGTGCCAAACCTCTCAGCTACTTCTGTGCATCCTCAGTGACACTTTATATGTTTTCTAGGAGCCCAGTAAATTAGCACATGGCATCGGCCTTGTTTTGAACTTCTCCCCTGCTTTGCCTCCTGAGTACCACTACCTGGGCCCCTCACCACAGCTGGGATTTCTCAGCTGCCAAAGCCGTGCATTGCTCTGAGAAGTGCAAGAGCAGGACCTCGCTCTCCTTTTCATATAAATCTTTTAGAGGAAAACAAAGTGTAAAATTATTACACTGCATCACCAATGTCTTACAAGGTTCTTCATGAAAATAGTTCTTTCCGCTTTTATTCATAGACCACTCCCTTCCTAAGTCCCAGATCTGAGAGAGGCTGTGTCAGGGACAGTGTCAAGTGTCCCTTTAGTATCCACCCTTCAGGTACTAAAGCTTTCACACAGAGCCACATTTGTCTGCTTGACACTTCCCAGAGTGCACCTTAACAAGCTTTGCCAGCAGACTCCCTGAAAATCCCCATCATGCACGAATCCCAGTGGTAGACGTGGCTGGGTTCAAGGTGGGGCAGGGCTGGTGGCAGGAAAGCCCGTGACCGCACTGCAGCTTGTCCGAAGCAGAGCTGGGATTGTGGCTCCAAAGCCTGCGCTCTTTCCACTCTGCTGCCTTTGGCATCTGGTTAAAAACCATCATTTTCTTTTAAGGATTCAATAGAAATACAGATTCTATCTTACTATAGAATTATTTTAGAATAGTCAATGTATTTTTTGCATTGGATTCCCTTGTTAGATATCATCCTATTATAAAGCGTAAAGGGGGAGTTAGAAAGGACAGAACATAAGCTTTCTGTGTTTACATACGTTAACGTATCTTCCAGAATGTGCACAAATATTTAGCATAACACTAGATATGTGATACACTCCATAAGCTATAGCTGTTGTTATCAGTATGGTCTGCTCATTTGCTATTCAGAACCTGAAAATTCTGTTTGTAAATACAGACGTTGAGACTCTGAGGTCAAACAGTTCTACCAGGGCCACAGAACTAGATTTCAGGTTCCAAACTGCGTGATTACAAAGCCCACATTGACCCACCTTAAACTTGGCTTGTTATCCCTCCCTCTCTGCACCCACAGAGCTCTGTTCTCAATGGTTTGAGCTCTCCTGTTCTTTATCCTGCCTCCTCACTCCTCTTCCCAGCAGCACTAGGCCCACTTCAGCTTCCATATCATTGTTCTCCCACTGCAATCATCAAAATACACTTTAGAACTATTTACTAGACCCTGGTGTCAAATATGACACAGTGAATGTTTGTGTATAAGTTAGTAGATATTAATTACCTTAAGCAATGTTTTTCTACTTGATGTATCAATTTCAAACCCACAAATTCAACATGTGTCAGGCGGCAAGGAAGACCTAGCTCATGCCTGTGGGTAATAAAGTACCATAAAGTGAAGTCAAAAGAGCTGTGCAGTTTTGGTCTGTTTATGTGAGGGTAAAATACATATGAAATAATTTGGTGAAAATGTCTCAAATAATATAACCATTTATGTACTTCATTAGCATTACCCACTAATTATTAATTGCATAGTAAAAAAAATACTTATTTTTTCTAATAATATTGTGGGTTCAGTTAAAAATTAACAGACATATGTCATCTATGCTGTGGAAAGAGTGCATGCTTATAAAACAAGTCACTTTTTTAAAAATTATGCATAATTGAGTATAAGGGGGAAAATCCATAAAGTGATATAAACTTTGGGGTTCAAATGTTCATATTTTAACCAGAAAAGCAATTAATTTCTAAAGTCACTTTTTGAGAACATCAATTTACTAAATTCCTAAGAGACGCAATTCTGTCTTAGAGTTGTCTCTGGTTAACTAATCCAAAATTCCAAGAAACACTGTTTTTTTGTGTATTTAATGGATCTTTTTCAGCTATAATTTATTAGTGTTTAATATGTACCAAGCTTTGTGGTAAGGCTTGTATTCATTATCTCATTTATTTTTCCCCACAATGTTAAAAGATAAGTATTATAATCACCATTATGCAAATAAGAAAACATATAATTGACAACAGACTCATGTAAATATTAATAACTGCCATGTTTCTTTTAAAGTTACATCTTTAGGGCCTATTAATATCATGCACGGAGTTCTTAAACTCGACTTCCCAAGGGCCTGAGCTTAGAGTTGTTCCATTGTTTGACTTCTCATACAGTAACAGTTCGAGGACCCACCCCTTCATCCATTTCTCTCTATAAAATAGGAGTTGGGTTCATCTGCTCAAAGTGCTGTTCAAGGAAAATGGACAACCTTTTAGACAGTTCAAAATGGCCACTAGAGAGAAAGGAAAAGGAGCTCACCCTGAAGCCCTGGCAAAGAAAGAACCCAGGAGGAGACAGTGGTTCCGAGAGACCACGCTGGGCATCCACTGCGGATAAAGATGAACTACAGTGGTAGGGTTTAGAGGTTTTTTAAGGCAGCCCTTCAGTTCCTTTACTATCCCCAGGAAGCTCAGTGGATGAAATGGAAATATTGAAATAATAGTCCTAGGAAACTGGAAAGACCATCTCCTGTCAGGAATGTGAGGAAGATTCTAAAAGAGGAGGGAGCCAGGGGCTGTCATGTGAAGCAGGGTAGACTGGCTTAACGCATCGCATTGCATCTCACACCCTTGATGGAACTATTATTTATTTGACAAGTGAGTCATTATTCAGAGCAGCTAACAGGTTTTGAACAGAATTTTATTGATAACTTAATGGGTTCACAAACGATGGGCTAATTCCAGTATGATGGACCAGAAACTACATCCATAGATTTGGAGGCGGCCTCCCAGTCAACTCAAAGGACTTCCCCCTAAGTCATTTCCTCTGCTGCTTTTTTGCCTCTACAGGGAACATTTTTTTTCTCGCTTGTAGCTTGTTTGCACAAAGCAAGCAAGACTGAAGTGGCATATGAATCTGCTTTTCTAAATGTGTTCTAAGGAGTTTCCCCGGGAAGCATTGCTGGATTTACACACAGCCCCACCCCCACTCCGCTCCTTTCATGACGCAGAACTAGCTTCTTGATGGTACTACACTTTCGGCTTCTTTACCACTGCAGGCAGCCAGGAGAGATGCCCGTGACTTAACTTAGTTCCTGGATGTTATATAACACAGTTAAACATAGCCCTTAAAACATGACTAGTGAGTGAAAAAGAGCAAGACACAAAACTGTATGTACAGCTTAATTACAACTCAGATTCATAAAATGTGGTTATGTATAGAAAACAAAAAGAACATCAAAATGTTAACTGTAATTATCTCCCAATTGTTGAAATATAAATATTTGGTTTCTCTCTTTGTTCTTTTTTTGTTTCATTGACATTTTATTTAATGAGCATGTATTTTCATAATTAAAAATAAAGTGATTTTAAATAAATTCACGTAAGCACAGATGGACTTCTTCACATGTAGAAACAAGTATTGCTGTACCGCATTAAAATAACACAAAGAAATCATGGACATTGGTCTGCTTTCCTCATTAGCCTTCACCAAAGAGAGATAGTGTTCAAGTTCCAGTGTTGCACAGAAAATTCAAGGACAGTTAAAAGGTGAAGTTTATTTAAATTTCTTCTTAGAGGATGATTTACAGTCTTATTAAATTTGGGATGGACAATTATTAATGAAATCAGAATATATTCTAAGCTTCTTATAAAAATATTCTTTCACTAAACTTCATTATTGTAGCAGAATCTTTAGCGTTTCAGAATTAGAGTTAAAAATGAAGGATTCTAACAACACTAACCTATCCATTCCAAAATAAAAGACATTAGCAGCTAAATATTTTTATTAAAAATAATTTTTAAAAGATGTATTTAACATATCTATTTATATTTTCATTCCTTTCCTTTTCAGGTGATATACAATGAAGTCACAGAGCTCCAAGGACATGTCTTAATGCTAATTGTGAAGAGCAAAACCACATTTGTGGGAGCAATTAATATCCAACTTTGCAGTGTCCCACTCAATGAAGAAAAATGGTACCCACTAGGAAACAGCATAATTTGACCACTGCTGTGAAAATGTGCATTATTCATTAACTGCTTGTGTTTTTTCCACTTCTGAGCATCTCCATCATGAGCAGGACATTTTTGTTGTGAAAGGTAGTGTAGTGTATTAAGAACACAAGAAAAAGAAACCAGAATCAATCTTTTATGGTCAGTTATTCTATACCTGCATTTCATTTTTAAAAAATCATTTCTCCTTAAATAGAATGCCAATTGTACATAATTCAATGTGTAAAGTAATACAGGACTTTAATTTAAATACATCTTCTATATCAAACATTTGTTCACACTTTGTTTTAATTATGTACATAAGCTAAAAGCACTACTTTTAATGTATTTTCTAAGAAACACAGGAAAGTGGTTGGGGGAAGGCAGAGACAAATGTATTTGAAAAAATACATAAATTAATTTTTAAAAAAACACGGGAAAATAAATAAATCTCACTAATTTAAGACATATATCTGCAATAGATTTTTAAAATTTGAAATATTTTTGTTTCTCTTACCTGGGGAGATATAGGAGATAAAATATTGCTAAGAGCAATGTCCAAATGTTATTGCCTATGTTGTCTTCTGGGATTTTTATAGTTTTGAGTCTTACATTTAAATCTTTAATCCATTTGGAGTTTATTCTTCTGTGTGGTGTAAGAAGGTGGTCTAGTTCCATTTTTCTGCACATATCCCTCCAATTTTCCCAGCACCGTTTATTGAATAAACTATCTTTAGCCCATTGTATGTGCCTGCTTCCATGTCAAATATTAATTGACTATGAAAGTGTGAGTTTTTCTGGGCTCTCTATCTGTTCCGTTGATTTATGTGTCTGTCTTTATGCCAGTACCATGTTGTTTGCATTAAGATGGTATTATAGTATAGTTTGATGTTACATACCATGATTCCTCCAACTTTGTTCTTCCTTCTCAAGATCATTGGTCTATTCAGGGCCTTTTGTGGTTCCATATAAGTTTTTGAAATATTTATTCTAGTTCTGTGAAATACATTGGTATCTTGATAAGAATTGCATTGAATCTAGTAATTTCTTTGGGTTGTATGGACATTTTGATGATGTTAATTCTTCTTATTCACAGACATGGTAGGTACTTCCACTTATTTGTATCTTCTTCAATTTCTTTCTTTGATGCCTTATAATTTTCCAAGTACAAGTCTTTTACATCCTTGGTCAAATTTATTCCTAAGTATTTTATTTATTTTGATGCAATTGTAAATAATATTGTTTTCTTAGTTTCCCTCTCTGAAAATTCATTTTTGGTGTATACAAATGCAACTGATTTCCGGGTATCTGTTTTGCATCCTACTACTTTACTGAATTCAGTGATCAGTTTTAGTAGTTTTCTGGTAGAATCTTTAGGGTTCTCCACATACAGTACCATGCGATTTTCACATACGCTTGTCTGCCGGTTGAAATCACATGTATGTGGTCACAGGTGGAATCCTGGAGGCAGACGGTTGCTCCCCGTGTCTCACGTGAGAGGACCCCTGAGGTCCTTATCTGTTGGCATGTGGAGACCCCTGCAGCCACCTAAGCAGCTGCTCAGCTTGCCTCGTCCGCATGGATGGGCCAGGAACAGTGGATCCTATCCCCTCTCCATGGATGTTAGTGTTCTTGCCAATTCGCAGCCCTTCCATCAGCGCTCTGAAGGGTCGTCTGGGCAATAAACCCTTGAGAACTTGCGCAAGAGTTTCTGTGGCGTAACCTCCTGGGAGGAGCCCTGCCCAGGGAGGGTGAGCCCCTGTGACACGTTGACAGGTCCTGCACCTGTTCTCGCAGAGGAGGGGCCTTTCCCCTTTCTCTCCAGGGGATCTGCTGGGGCCTCTGCTTCCTCACTCTGTCCCCAGGGCTGGTTGCCGCCAGGCCAGGACCCTGCCAGTCTGATGGTGACAGTGCTCTCTCCTGAGCGTGACAGAGCGTCCATCGCCATCGGGGAGGTCGGGCAACTCTGACAGGTTGTGGCGTGGGCACTGCCTCTCGCTGGAAGTGCACGTGCTCGCCCCTTGTCCCCTTGGAAAACACAGACTTTCTAGAGTTTGATGCACCACAGGGATGAGAAACCTTTCTCTGGCCTTGAGTTGTGAGAAGTACTTTCCAGCTTGTGGTCTGTCTTTTCCATTTTCTTCATTTTTCTTGTTTTTGTTTTGGGCACAGAAATAGCCAGCCATTGCCTGACTGGCTTCTGGCCCTGAGGTCATACTTAGCACAGTGGCCTCTACCCTGAGATTACGCACATACTCACTAAAAGGGATTTTTATTTTAGACATTTGATCTCTATTCTCTCTGGGATGTCCTTTTCAAATAGCAAAAATGCTATTTCAGATATAAACAAACAAACATATGTGAGCAGACACAAAAAGGCACCTACTGTAAGATTCCATTTATAGGAAACGTCCAGAATAGGGAAAGGAGCAGAAACAGGAAGCAGAACAAGAGTTGCCTGGGGTGGGAAGAGCGAGGAGTGAGAAATTTTGATGGAGGGTCTCCTTTTGGGGAGATGGACACCCTGCAGCCAGACAGCGGTGACACTGGCACAGCATCGTGAATGAACACCATGCTCAGGAAAGGCACACTTTACAATGAAAACAAAGACTTTTATTTATAACTTAAAATATACCACACCATGAAAAAATGGATAAAAAGAGAAAAAAGTAAAGATAACATCTCCAAATAATAAAAAATAAATTAGCTGAAACAATACACCATGGAGGAAAAAAATATAGAAATAAAAGAAAGATTAAAGAAAAAGCTTAAAGAATGGAGGTAAAACAAATTCCTCTGACGGGAGAGAGGGAGGAGGATCAGCCCGTTGCTCCAGAGCTGACCCTGATGCATCTTCCAGAGGCAGCTCCTCCTCTGGGGCAGGAACCAGAGCGGGTCTGAGGGAGGGGTCTTCGGGCAGGTGTGGCCAGGCCTCAGGCAGGTCAGGAGCTGCTGTGTCTATGTCCTGAGGCCCTGTCCTCAAAAGAGGCAGTGATGATAACATTTTACACTGAGGCCTCCATTGGGTCTGGGTTCAGCCTAGATGCCTGTGGCACTTTTCACAGCAGACCGCAGAAGTAACACAGGGAGGCCCAGGGTGGTTTTCTTAAAGCCAGGCTACCACTTAGATCACAACTAAGCAGCCCTATGTCGCCTACGTGTGTGTTTAAGGAGGCTCATGTGCGTAGGCCTGCCCCAAGCAGGAGCTGCTGAGAACACTGGTGGGCCATAATGCTCACACACCAGCTCAAGACTGGCTGGTGGATGTGGAGTATGGATGGGGTCCTCCACCCAAGGTTTAACCTTAAGCCCTGGAGGTGAATCTAATTTTTCTGGGTGGAGATCAGTGCAAACACAGGTCTAGGCCTGATCAGGAAGGGGAAAGTCCAATGGGCAGAAGCAGCAACGACAAGGATGGAGTAGGAATTGATGTCTCACTACTGGCTACCACTCACTGTCATTGCAGAGTTCAGCCCAGGTCATGGAGGAGCAACAAGTGGTCAGTGAAGACCCAGGTCCTGTCTCCACCAGTGAGGGAGAAGAGCTCCACAACATTGAGACCCAGAGCAGCCCAGAAATCTCTGTCACCACCCAGGACTCTGGGGAACCAGAATCCTTTCATGGACAGAAAAAAACATCTCACCTGAAGCTTCCCAGCTTTCACAGAAAGAGGGTCACCAACACCAAAATAGAGCAACTTGCCCACATTAAGCAGACAGGGTCTGATGACCTGGATCCCAAAAAGATGGAGTCCAAGGGTGAGAAGGTGGGGAAGATAGGGGTGGGAGTGGCAGTGAAGGTTCAAGGAAGCTCATGACAAACGCACAAGGAGCACCCAGAGTGGCTGGCCAGGAGCAAAGTCAAGACTCATCACCCATGTGCTGGACTGTCCTTGGGGAGGGCATGCTGGGGTGGGTCCTGGGCTGTGGCTTCCCTGGAAGGTTTGGGCTCTGTCTGTTGGTGGGAGGCACATGGGAATGCAGACATGCACATGATCTTTTCTCCTCTCAAAACTTCAGAACAAAGCCAAGAGGACCAGCTGGTCAACAAACAACCGGGACCCATGTCCAACAGTGATGAGAAGATTCGCCACACAGCGAAGGACCACAGCAAGCCTGAAGCAATTCTAGCCAATCAGGGGTCTACAGCACAAGATCCAGTGAAAGGACAGAAAAAGCTTCCTACCCCGAAGATACCCAACCTCAACACAAGCCTCCTTTTTTGTCTCCAACTTGGAATATGGTGCCCATGTTAAACAAACCAGGGTAGAGGACCTGAAGCCTGAAGAGGCAGACACAGAGTGTGAGCAGGTGGAAGGGCGGTGGGATGGGAGTGAACTTAAGGTGAGTTGTTGTGGGGAAATGGTGTCAAACAATGAATATCAAAAAAGGCTACCCGAAAACAAAGAGCTGCCTCAAAACTGCCATCTACTGGACTCTCCACAGAAAGGGCATCCTGTATGGGACGATGGTTGCAGCACTCCTGGAAGGCTCAAGCTGTGTTCTGTGTTTGCGAGGGCCATTGGGAGCATAGGCATGTGAGTGGTATCTTCTCCTCTCGTAACTGCAGCACCTGGCCCCATGGAAACACCCAAGAGGGAAGCTCTCTGCTCCATCACCAGCGGTGTAGTGCAAGTTGGCCAACCCACTGAGGACAAAAAAAAATGACCTAGGTCACCATTGGCAGTGAGGCATCTGGGTAGCATGTTCCTCACCTGCTCAGAAAGGGACACCACCCTCAAGGCCCCCTAGGTGCCACAGGAAGATGGAAATTCCTGTGGCCAAAGTGGAGCAGGGTGTTGACCTTAATGAAAGGGACAGAAGACATACAGATCAAGGATTCAAAGCCAAAGTTTTAGAAATTGGGTGATAGCATGGTGAGATGGAGAAGGACTTCCTCTTGATCTCATCAGGACGACCCAGTGTCAGATACAGAGGAAAAACCCTCAGATGTGGTCCAGAGGCAGAGACTGGCCTCGTACCATCCATATGTTTGTCCATCAGGAGGTCATCCTGGGTTGTATCCAGAGCTGAGGCTTCCCTGGAAAGCTCTGGCTCTCTTCCGCCTTTTTGGGAACCGTTAGACATGCAAGCACATAGTTTATCATTTTCCATTGCACAACCTTAGCAGGAGCCAAGGAGGCTGAACCACCTCCTCTTCCAGCAGCTGTATCTAGTACGTCTCAGCTGGATGCTGGGGCAGACCAGGGGGCTACTCTGGTCTTCAGGAGGTGCCCACTTTCAGTTGTAGTGCCATGATCAGCAACTGCTCCTACAGTATCCCTGCAGTCGAGTCCAGCCTGAACTTCATCTCCTGACCAGAAAGAGATCCTACCATACTCGCCTGAAATCCTCCCAGAATCTTGCCCTTGTTCCTGCCCAGGAGGAGGAGCTGCCTCTGAAAAATACACTAGAGTCATCCCTAGAGCTGATTTTTATTCAACTGACTCTCCCACTTCCACCAGGAGTTGTTTTACCTCACTTCTGTGACTTTGTTCATTAATCTTCCTGTTTTCTTTTTTCTACAGGCCAGGTTTCAATTGAAATATTAAATAAAGAGGTATTATTAAAATTATAAATTGTGCCATTTGTGAGCTTGACGTACATTCACGATTGCGGATGTTCCATCACCCCAAAAGGAGACCCTGCACCGAATGTATTACGCCCTCTCCCTCTGCCCCGGCAACTCCCGATCTGCTCTGTGTCTTCCTTTACCTGTTCTGGACAGTTCCTCTA